AAGCATCCTACGCCTCACCATGAGCCTCTGTGAGACGGAGTTGTAGATCGGTAACGCAGAGGCGGTGGGCCCGGTACTGCTGCTGCTGCTGCTACCGCTGCCATCCCCACCGGCGCCCAACATGGGCCTCTCGTTCTCCTCATCCTCGTCACCGCTGCTCGTGGACTCTGCCAACACACACCACCACCTCTCGTCAGATTTTCTCCCTCCAAAAATGTTCCTTATTGAAACAAAATATTGCGGCGTTAGTCTTGACCACCAGCCATCATTAATGTAACGTTCAAGCTCATTTACTTCGTCTAAAAGTCGAATGAGTGCAATACCAAGAATGCACCGTTAAGACGGTTTCAATACGTGTGATATCCCTTCCTTGGTTAAATTAGTGAGATGCGAGGTCTCGATAGTGGTCCTGGCCCATTTGGGGGTTTACGCAGAAATATTTTTTGGGAGATCCCTTTGGATTTGTAACAGAAATAGTCAACAGATAGAGATATCGCGAGATGAGAGAAGAGTTCGATAACACATGGATTAGAAATGAACTAATTATCATTATTGCCGTTTGAGCTGATATGATCCTTAAGTAGTTTTTCCCATGCATCAGGTGCGACTTGAAACTGCTTGAGGCCACATGCGTGTTCTTGTCTGCTTATGCCTTTTGAGCCACCACTGAGAAGAGGCAATGGAGAACCCAGGACCTTGCGTGATGTTGTCAGATGCCTCAGCCAGAGGACTGCTGCAGACAGACCTCTCATCTTGGGAGATGGGGCAATGCGTGACAGAGGCCAGTGGGAGGCATGAGTCTAGAAGACAGGCGGCGGCGTGACTGACAGCGAGCATGGATGGAGAGGTAAACAAAACACGATGACTGCGCCTGCCATTCGGTACATTCTCGTGACATCCCAGTGGGGCATACGATGGCAACTGCAGCCTCTACTACTTCGTAGGGCTTTCGCCGCTGTGCCGCACGGATCTCCGATGTTGTTTGCGGGTTGCACACCGCGCGTGGTCGGCGCTACGTCCAACAGCGGCAGGTCCTGAAGGTTTCCGGCGCGTGCAGCGAAACGTCGGACATCGTGCCAATTTCCAGGACAAACCCTCGTCAACCCACACGGCAAGCCACCGTCGCGCCGTGGTGGCAACTCCACATTGGTGGTGGGGGGGGGGGGTGGCAACTCCACATTGGTGGTGGGGGGGGGTGGCAACTCCACATTGGTGGTGGGGGGGGGGGTGGCAACTCCACATTGGTGGTGGGGTGAGGGGTAGCAACTCCACATTGGTGGTGGGGTGAGGGGTGGCAACTCCACATTGGTGGTGGGGGGGTGGTGGCAACTCCACATTGGTGGTGGTGGGGGGGGTGGCAACTCCACATTGGTGGTGGGTGGGGGGGGCAACTCCACATTAGTGGTGGGGGGGTGGCAACTCCACATTAGTGGGGGGGTGGCAACTCCACATTGGTGGTGGGGTGAGGGGTGGCAACTCCACATTGGTGGTGGGGGGGGGGGGGTGGCAACTCCACATTGGTGGTGGGGGAGTAGCAACTCCACATTGGTGGTGGGGTGAGGGGTGGCAACTCCACATTGGTGGTGGGGGGGTGGCAACTCCACATTGGTGGTGGGGTGAGGGGTGGCAACTCCACATTGGTGGGTGGGGGGTGGCAACTCCACATTGGTGGTGGGGGGGGGGTGGCAACTCCACATTGGTGGGTGGGGGGTAGCAACTCCACATTGGTGGTGGCAACTCCACATTGGTGGTGGGGGGGTGGTGGCAACTCCACATTGGTGGTGGGGGGGGGGTGACAACTCCACATTGGTGGTGGGTGGCTTTGGCAACTCCACATTCCCGTGTCGGGCACACCACCCCCCTCCTCCTCCGTCACGTCTCTCACGAGTTCTCGAGTCGACAACGAACATTGCCAGCGAGACTGGATCCTGTGGAGAGGAAGGACGAGGGAGGCAGAGAGGGAGTGGAGTGGGGGCAGAGAGGGAGTGGAGTGGAGAGGGGGTCGGTGTTTGACTCTCACCCGCCGCGCTGTTCAGCGGCTGCTGGGCTCGAAGTGACGGCGCCGCCGCCGCCGCCGCGGGGCCACCGCCGCCTCCGTCTCCCGCCGCCGTCCCGGGCGGCCCCGTGGCGCCCAACGCGACTCGCTTCGCCGCGGGCTCCCTTTCGTCTTCATCCTCCTCTTCATCGTCACCACCACCACCACAACCACCCTGCCCCTCCTCCTTCAGGCGTCGCCTCATGGCGCCGTCTCGCCGTCACCTCCCCGGGCAAGTCGGGGAGCGAGGGAGGGAGGTAGAACGAGGACACGGACACGCACAGAGAGAGCCACAGAACAAACACCGAGAAGCCCCCCGGCGTCTCCCGCCTAAGCAGCCCCACAGGACAGGGCGCGTTTCTCTGCACCGCCACCACAAACACCTTCCCGCCCGCCGCTTTCAACGCGGCGACGATCGCGCCTCCGTCGACACGGCGGCGAGCCCGCACGCCATCATACGTAGGGGCATTTGGCCGCGTGTCCACCGCCTGTGCTCAACAATCGACGAGGCCCTCGTGTTGTGCGTGTTGTGTGTGCGGGGTGGGGATGGGGGCGCTAGAGAGCCGCTGGCAAATTCGGTTGCTGCGTCATCGAAACGAGCAACTCGATAAGAGTTGCCTCGGCTCCCCCCTACCCCCACGTAACATGGCCGCCCGCGGTATCGGCTCGTTAACCCCCCACCCACAACACACCCCCAACACCCCCCACCTCCCACCTACAACACCCACCCCCCAACACCCCCCACCCACCCCCAACACCCCCACCCACCCCCCACCCCCACCCCCCCAACACCCCCCACACACCCCCACCTCCCACCTACAACACCCCCCACCCACCCCTACCCACAACACCCCCACCCACCCCCATCCACAACACCCCCACCCACAACACCCCCCACCCACCCCCAACACCCCCACCCACCACCACCCACAACCACCCACAACACCCCCACCCACCCCCATAACACACAACGCCTGCAATGATGTAGAGCAACAACAGTGGGCACTCGTTGTTTTCGTGTGGCCCATGTCCCACTGTGAGGTTGTACCCCCCCCGTTTCTTCGTCGTGGTTTTCGTTGGTATGAGCCAAGCTAGCGCGGGGGGGGGGAGCATGTTGCATGTGGGGCATGACTCCACCACACACGTGGCTTCCACACACAAGACTTCGCTGATGAGCCCCAATGAAAACGACACCGGTCCACAGTTGTCTAGGCATCACTGCTGTTTGCAAATGGTCACATTTGCTCAAATCGATTTTGATGGTGACCCAAGACAAGACAACCAACAGTGCAAGTTCTCCAGGAACCGCAACTGTTATTTGCACGAAATACACATTGATCGTTCTTACTTTTTTTTACACAATTGTCACGTGTTGCATGAAACGAGTGAAAGCGATCTGCCACTTGTGGAAGATGTAAAATTGTATAATCATTAGTGTCAGGTGGGGGCCCCATTTGGATGTATTTTGAAAAGGGAGACGTACAAATAAAAACAAACCTAATTATTGTGATTGTGTTTAATGTAACATTTGAAGGACGAATTATAAAACCCAGAAATGAATTTGCAGGTACGCCGATTATAACATGCCTGGTTTATTCAAGGAAAGCCTCGCCAAGTGTCAAGACTTGTTTTCAGGAAGGACCTGCATTTGAGATGTTTAGACAATTGCATTATCGTGGCTTCTACGAGGAAGCCTGGAGAAACCCCACCACATACGAGGGCATAACCCAAAGCTCTGCACAGATTCAAGAGTCCAAATGTTGTATTGCCATCTCATGACCACCTCGCAGCCCAAGCCTAAAAACACATTGTAATGAACTATAGAGTATATCCCATGGAAGTACTAACCAGGCTCAAACCTGCTGAACTTTTAGGATCTGATAACATCTGGCACACTCCGTCTGATGTGGTTATACGTTAGAGCCAAACAAAACCAAATATTTTTTTTGTAAAAGAGGTGGAAGCCTTTTTAGGCTCTTTGAAAGGGAACCTAGGGAACACTATACAATAGGGGCATTATTTAGTCGTTTTTTTTTCAAACGTTTGGATATATGACACCTTTTTTGAACGGAAGTCAAACTTGTTACATTCGTGTCGAGACTTCACAGTTCCCTTCATAAGGAAAATAGTCTATTCAATATAACCTGTTTCTAAACTGCAAAAGGCACAGTACAGGGTTTGTGCAATGTATTATTGCACACAGCCACGTGTCTTCTTAATAGCGACAATGTTCACACCTAAAAGGAAGTCAATGCAGTCTCAGAAGCAAGACATTTGCTATTGGTCAATTTCCCACTGCCACACAAAGCAGACATGTATACGAAGGAGTTTCCTGCTCAGCAATCTCATTCCTGCCCAACTGGTTTTATATCTCCCAACACATATGGTGCAGTCCTTTACAGGGGCGGATCAGTGACGCGGTGAGTTAGCATGCTGCGCTAGAAACCCTGCAAACAGTTTGAGTCCCGGGCACGGCTAACATCAGTGGCGAGTGTTATCCCTTTACAAACCGGCACTGACCCACGTGGTTAAGTATGATAACATAAAAACAGACATTCATGGGTAGGCCTTCGTCTATTTGTGAATTAATAGGCTGGAATATTTTATTTTAATAACTTGCGTAATGTATTTCCAGGCATGAGTATATACGCTTATAATGTAATCTCTTTGTTTCACCGTTTGTATTTACGAGCAAAGTGCATTTTAGGCTTCTGGCTATGGAGTACAAACCGACAGCCTCAAAACTGTACAGCCACCCATGAAGCACATACGTGCAGAAAGGATGCCAGCAAATACAGCCACCAACTGTTGAGATAGCTTTGTTGTGGACGTGCAACCGCTCGCGCATTGGAAAATGTCTTGGACCCCTGCCACATCCAAAAGAAGTCTGAATGATGTCCATCCGGCTCTTGCGAAGAGGAGGCAAATCCTTGCCAGAGGAGTCAATGACACAAACCTTGTGTACCACTTTCCAGTTCAAATTTATTTTGCTGGAATCACCTACATTATATAAGAACATACCAAAAAAATATTTAACACCAATCATTTGGCCATTACCTTATGCCACTTTACCTTTATACCCATTTACAACACACCATGTAATGTAGGAAAATGACAGCTGTCCATCTGAAAGTTTTTTTCATATAAAGAGAAAATCATTACTTGTGCTAACACCAATTAATGTATGTTTTACATTTTTCAGTTATAACAACACAGATTCAGGCAAAGGATGGATTTAAACTGTAACAAAACAATTGAAAACAAAATAAGAATATTAAGGGTGGGGGGAGATGAGAATGGAGTAGTGGAACAACATTGGTCCCTCACACACATGAAAAATGTTTCTTTTTGTTCTCAATTGACACCCAGACATGGCTTTCCAGAACGGGAGAATTCAAGACAATTGCTGCTGCTCCTCTGTTCAATTCAGCGCAGCTGTCTGTAGCTCTGGCAGAGCGCGTGGTCTCGCTTGTCACCCCAGCCACCGTTGACAGTGTGGGGGTTGATGGGCGACACATAGTGCATCTGCAGGATTTGCAGGGCGGTCGGGTAGAGGTGCGGCGCATTGGCGGCCACGTGCTCCGCGAGGCGGCGGGCCTCCCCCTCGGCGTCGCACGGGCCCTGGTGGTGCATGCCGCAGCCGCCCGTGTGGCACACGCGCGGAGCCTGCAGCACCAGCGCCTTGAGCGGGTGCGGCAGGCAGGCCACCGTCAGGTGCTGCAGCGTCCAGTCCCAGTTGTAGTCGTCGTACGTGCAGAATTCCTGCGTGCAGGCCAGCAGGTGCTTGTACGTCAGCCGTCCGATGGCCATGCCCATGTTGTGCCGCGATGACTGCCAGGGCAGCCCCTCAAGCTTGTCGCTCTTGCCCTCAAAGTTGTCCACCATGTCGTAGGAGCCCAGGCTCAGTATATCGCAGTCGGGGCACTCGCGCTTCTGCATGTCCCACATCTTCTGCAGGACGACGTAGAAGTCGGGCAGTAGATAGTGGTCCTCCTCGATGAGCAGCACGAGGCCGTCGTGGGCGTTGATGGCGTTCAAGCGGTCCCACACGAAGTGCAACTTCCACCACCAGTGGTGCTTGGTCTGCGTGAAGACGGCCTCGCGATAGTGGGCGTATTTATCTGGGAACTCGGCATTGTTGCACTTCAGCCGACGGGCTTCTTCCAGGGAGATGTCCCGGGGACAGTCATTGGGGTCCTGTCCCGGGAACTCGTTAGGGTAGACCTGCAGACTAAACGGGAAGAAGATCTGCAGCACGCGGCAGAAGTCAATGGTGCGCACGACCTCGTTGACCTCCTCTGATATGTAGTCGTGGCTGAGAACAAGCAGCACCTCCTCAATCCTCTGGGCTTTTCTCAGCGACTCCACTAGCAGCTTGAGGTGCTGTGGGCGGTTGTGAACTTGCACCAGGATGACCAGCCCATCCTTAGCTGGAGCCTTGATTTTTTCAGAGTTTCTGATGAACTGGTAAAAGTTTTGGTAGTATATGTACTTTTTCAGCTCCTTTGACGTATTTTTCACACCAATTTTCACGTCGAAAAAATTAGATGACACGTTGTCACGACCTCGGAAATAGTCATATTCATCTCGATCTTCGGATAAAATCCGGTTCTGCTCAGTTGCTACTGCATTTTTCGGACTTTCGCGAGGGGCCTGCTTCCGCGCTTTCGTGACGTTCCACGTAGCAATGCCGGCCACGGTTAGCAGCACAAACAAAATGGCCACCTTCCTCTTGTGTATTCGGAACCTCATTTCCAACAGGATTTGACCACCCTTGGCTGGGCCCTTCCGCTACCGAGCCCTGCTGCCACCGGGCCACGCGAGGCTCCGGGGTAACGCAAATAGTGCCGTTAGCCCTCGAGCTGGGTATACAGGAGCCGGGGGGACACCTGCATCACCGCACAGCTCAGGGGAGCACCCAGCTCTACATCAACCCAGGTCAGCATCCGGCCTCAGTTCTGAAACGTGAACACAAACAACAAACAGAATGTGTGATTATCAGGTGCTGTAAGCATTGGCCCAAGAAAAATGCTTCGAGGGAAAACATTAAAAACAAGCAACATAAACAATAACCAGCGTGCTTGTTTAAAATTAAAAACAAGCACGCAGGACACACTTTACCACAGATCACTCAAGACAATACAGGGCTCTGCAACTAATAAATATAAAGATAGCCCTTACAGGATATAGTACAGGCCTCCTGTTACATCTATACAATTAAAAGTCTGTGGGCTTATTTTGGCCATTTCACGCACAGTATTGCATACCAGCTCGTACCAAGTATAATCAATAGCCATTGAGAATTACGATGGTTACTGTGCTGTTCTGGTATAGGCAGAGGGAAAATGTGTGCAGTCCCATATAGCTGGTGTGGAGAATGTGCACTTGTAGACTGTTCATTAACGTGATATAGCAGCTGTTTACACAGCACTTCCTAACAAATCTAGTCTTTGTTGATACTGATCAAGCAATAGAGGGAAAAAAAACGAGATATATCTGCACATATAGTTGGCAAATAATAAAGCATTGCTTCATTGATTAAATTAAATCGTCATGCTCACTATACTGTACATGCATCGAATTATGTGCAATGATTCATAACGAATTTTCTGAAATCCACAATGTTCATAACTGTGCATGTCGCACAAAGCCACGTAATAAAACAACTTGTGACTGCCACGTGCTGCCTTTTGAACTTGAATTTTACTCGCTTACCCTACCCCAAGCCCATCCTTCATACGTCAGTGTAAGCGCTATGATATATGCTGTATAATAAAACAAGAGTGGAGCAGAAGTGCAGTGGTTAGTGCATTGCACTACGAACCCAGCGAACTCGGTTTAATTCCAAGCCATAGCTAACATCAGTGACGAGTGATATCTCCTCCTTCACCAAGCCGCACTGGCCAGCATGGTGAAGTATGGTCAAACAACGTCCCTCACCCCGTCTCGGGCCAGGTGGCCTTCCATCCAGGAGTGGATTGACAAAGGGCTGTACATTATTCGGAGAACAACTTAAATTTTGGTAGAACACTGTGAACGACTCTTTCCCGTACCATTGGTATACTTAGCGGCTTTGGTTTATCAGGGTACATCTTGCTGCTGAAACCCTGTTTGCATTGCATTCTAAACATGTGACAGGAAGGTGCGTGTGTCAATAGATTTAATATTATTTACTGTCCAGTATTTTATTTCAAAGATTTTAACAAACCCTTTACCTGTAAAATTATACATTTATAAGATTACACGTATAATTGTGGGTCGGGACTATTCCTACGGGACGCTTAACAGCAATTTAAACATTAAACTTTCACGGCCAGCACCTTGACTTGCTAAAACAATCTCACGAGTGATCCTGTGACGCATTATAGACCAACCACACACACAGCTATCGAAAGGCTGATCACATTACTCCCGTGTGCAAATCTAGCACCAGATGCTGTCCTCTGTACCTACAGAGGGCCAGAGAAAGGACCTTTTACGACCAGTTCGGAGCCAAATGAAACCGATATTCTTTTTTGAAAGGAGATCTGGATTTCAGTAAGTATTGTACAGCGATGAGAATATCAGAATAGTGCATTTAAACACAATGGGGTACAGCGGCGTTGCAGAGTGAATGTCCTTGCCACAGCTACTACGTCAGTGGCTAGTGATGTACAGTATAACCGGTTCTCGCAACCACCTTCCCCAGCCTGTACTGACCTGCGCGATGAAGTATGGTTAAACAACCCCAACGACCGACGTGGTTTGACAAGAGGATGCCATTTTTGTTTAATTAAACAAAATTATATAACTAACGATGGACACGCACACACAAATTATATTTAAAACAATCATAACTACAGGTTTGATCACATAAACAGCCTCATTGTGGGATAAGTTACTCTTCCCACTGCTTGTAATTCATGGCATTATTAGGATTCTGGGTCACAATTAAATCCACGAATCGTTTGAATGATAGTGCCTCTAATGGCTGGCATAATATAAACCCATTAGATACCACAAGCGGTATAAAGTGAAAAAACGTGGACACTCTCGCGCGATGCGATGCTTGATTATGAATGTAATCATCAATGTCGATCAACTGATCGATGCATTCCACCCGTCAACAGTAATCCAAAGTCTAAACAGCGGACAAGGTGGACCTTGGTATAGGAATGTTTACTCACCACCACTGTAAGCTATTTACTCAAGAATGGAGATTAACACCACCTAATATTCATGCAAGTGTTGGGCCTACAACCAAATGATCATAAATACCCGGATATCATAAAATTTCTGAAGCTCAGCAGATTTGACCCTGGTCAGTACTTGGCTGGATAACCTGCCAGGGCTCTCCACGTGTTGTAGGTGTGTGGTTACAATGTGTATTGCAAGTGCTGAGTCCAGAGGTGTGGACTCGAGTCATGTGACTTGGACTCGAGTCAGACTCGAGTCATGAATTTGATGACTTCAGACTCGACTTGGACTTGCATAACAATGACTTTGTCCCACCTCTGAGGTGTGGACTCGAGTCATGTGACTTGGACTCGAGTCAGACTCGAGTCATGAATTTGATGACTTCAGACTCGACTTGGACTTGCATAACAATGACTTTGTCCCACCTCTGAGGTGTGGACTCGAGTCATGTGACTTGGACTCGAGTCAGACTCGAGTCATGAATTTGATGACTTCAGACTCGACTTGGACTTGCATAACAATGACTTTGTCCCACCTCTGAGGTGTGGACTCGAGTCATGTGACTTGGACTCGAGTCAGACTCGAGTCATGAATTTGATGACTTCAGACTCGACTTGGACTTGCATAACAATGACTTTGTCCCACCTCTGGCTGAGTCTCTCCCGTCGTTTGTGTGGTGGGTATTCTCTGGACACCCTGGTTTTATCCCACACGAAGCCATAAACGATCATGAATTTTACTGGCCAAGGATTTCAATGTCGCAGGAACATCCTGAAAAAGTGTATTGAGACTCGACTGACACTTGTAATGCTACTTACCTACCTAGTCTTTCCCAGGTACAATACAGTAATTGGCAATACAAATGTGTCGTGCACACTTTCACACTATGACAATGACGCCAGCACGAGATAATCACTCAAACCTTGTTCAACGGCGGAGTCATTAAACGAAAAAAGCAATCTTCGTTGCACTGTCACCGTATCTACTGATCTCGCCCCACCTTGCAAAATTCTAACCACGCGTTAAGTGCTGTGCCAACAGCTGCTGCATTGACAAAGTTTCACTGCTTCGTTTTACTGCGATTAATAAGCAAGCCTGGCTGTTGATGACTCTGTGAATGTCAAATCCGATCTGAACTTTGCTTGCATTTAACCAATGTTGCTGAAAATATTTACTCCCACTGGGCTAATGGGATGTGTACAAAAAGAAAACCCGACTTGATTTTTAATGTGGCGAGACGGATACGGAAATTTGGCGTATTTTTTAAAAAAAATTGGGGATTTATGTGACATTGGTAAGTCCATGTTACTGATCTGATGGTTCACATCAACTCCCATTCAAGGTCCACGCGGTAAGATCATGGGACCAATTTGACCCCATCAAACCAGTCGTAGCCTTCCTTGCCTGAACTCCCTGATAATATTCAATAGAAAGCAATTAATTGACAGGCATGCACGCTCAGTTAACGCGATATATCGACACGCATCAGAACTGTAATGCCATGCATTATTTAAAAGACAATTTGTAACAAAGAAAGGGTATATGAGTTTGAAATGACATTGTAGCCTCAACGTTATCAACTAACGCATCACAACTACTGTATGCACCGTAGATCGAGCTATTGCTCAGATCGGGATAATACTAAAAGTGTGAGTTACGTAATTATGGTCATCATCATCATCAGTCTCAACATCATCACCACTAGCAATCGTGTCCCATTACCATCCTCATGACTGTCACCATACAATACATCATCACTATGACAACTAGACCCCCTATCATCATCATCATCATCAAGCGCGTTGGTAAGCATCCTCGAAGATCGATAACGATACGAACATCACCGTCAAGATCACTACGGACGTCACTGCCGTGATCACCGGCATCATTAACACCGCCGACAGCTTCGGCAGCATCACAAAGCGCCCTCATCACCAACACAACCAACGACCATCATCAACCATCCATCATCACCCACGATCACCGCCACCACCACCACCACCACTCCCCCCCATTATCATTATCACCATCCTCACCACCACCCCCATCCTCACCCTCATCCTCACCATCAACACCAACCCACCACCACCACCAACCCACCACCACCACCATCAGGTGCACACCACCAAACTCGCCCATCGCGGGGCCGTCTACGCCCAGAATCAGCGTGCGCTCGCCACTGCCACCACTCGCGTCGCGACCAAACCGCACTGACACAACACACACCACGACGACGACGACGACAACAACAACAACAACGCACACAGCCACACTTACCCGTGGTCACAATGCCGATCTTGAAGGCACGAACGAGACGAGACGAGAGAGAGAGGAGAGAGAGCGAGCGGCCCTCCCTCACCTGAGCGGGCTGCGGCTCGCGGAGGCGCCGAGCTGCCAATGAATCGAGGCCGCGGCGGCTTCCGCCTACGTCACGAGTCAGAGGCCTCGCAGCGGGGGGAGGCGCGCACATGGCCCCCACCAACGCGCCTTCAGTGTCAGCGGTGTGTGTCACACGTGTACACACGTGTACAGGGCCCAGCAAGGCACCTTCAGTGTCAACGGTGTGTCACACGCGCACAGAGGGCCCACCAAGGCACCTTCAGTGTCAGCAGTGTGTGTCACGCGCACAGAGGGCCCAGCAAGGCACCTTCAGTGTCAGCAGTGTGTGTCACGCGCACAGAGGGCCCAGCAAGGCACCTTCAGTGTCAGCAGTGTGTGTCACGCGCACAGAGGGCCCACCAAGGCACCTTCAGTGTCAGCGGTGTGTGTCACGTGTACAGAGGGCCCAGCAAGGCACCTTCAGTGTCAGCAGTGTGTGTCACGCGCACAGAGGGCCCACCAAGGCACCTTCAGTGTCAGCGGTGTGTGTCACGTGTACAGAGGGCCCAGCAAGGCACCTTCAGTGTCAGCGGTGTGTGTCACGCGCACAGAGGGCCCACCAACGCGCCTTCAGTGTCAGCGGTGTGTGTCACGTGTACAGAGGGCCCAGCAAGACACCTTCAGTGTCAGCGGTGTGTGTCACGCGCACAGAGGGCCCAGCAAGGCACCTTCAGTGTCAGCGGTGTGTGTCACGCGCACAGAGGGCCCACCAAGGCACCTTCAGTGTCAGCGGTGTGTGTCACGCGCACAGAGGGCCCACCAAGGCACCTTCAGTGTCAGCGGTGTGTGTCACGCGCACAGAGGGCCCACCAACGCGCCTTCAATGTCAGCGGTGTGTGTCACGTGTACAGAGGGCCCACCAAGGCACCTTCAGTGTCAGCGGTGTGTGTCACGTGTACAGAGGGCCCAGCAAGGCACCGTCAGTGTCAGCGGTGTATGTCACGTGTACAGAGGGCCCAGCAAGGCACCTTCAGTGTCAGCGGTGTGTGTCACGTGTACAGAGGGCCCAGCAAGGCACCTTCAGTGTCAGTGGTGTGTGTCACGCACAGAGGGCCCAGCAAGGCACTTTCAGTGTCAGCGGTGTGTGTCACACGTACAGAGGGCCCACCAAGGCACCGTCAGTGTCAGCGGTGTGTGTCACGCGTACAGAGGGCCCAGCAAGGCACCTTCAGTGTCAGCGGTGTGTGTCACGTGTACAGAGGGCCCAGCAAGGCACCTTCAGTGTCAGCGGTGTGTGTCATGCACAGAGGGCCCACCAAGGCACCGTCAGTGTCAGCGGACACGTACAGAGGGCCCACCAAGGCACCTTCAGTCTCAGCGGTGTGTCACACGCACAGAGGGCCCAGCAAGGCACCTTCAGCATCTCAGCGGTGTGTCACATGCACAGAGGGCCCAGCAAGGCACCGTCTGTGTCAGCGGTGTGTCACACGCACAGAGGGCCCAGCAAGGCACCTTCAGCATCTCAGCGGTGTGTCACATGCACATGGCCCCCACCAAGGCACCGTCAGTCTACTCAATGTCTCACACGCACATGATCCACCAAGGAATCGTAAGTTTGCTCGGAGTGTCACACGCGCAGGACCCTCACCTAGGAAGGCACCGTCAGTCTGCTCGAGTCTCACGCATAGGGCCCACCAAGGCATCGTCGTTCTCGGCAGAGTGTCACGCGCACATGGTCCACCAAGGCATCGTCAGTCTACTCGAGTCTCACACGCACATGGCCGACAAGGCATCGCGACATCTTCACAAGAGTCAAAATTCACAAAATGCACAGGGACCACAAGGCATCGTGACTTTCCAAAAGTCAAAATGCACAAGGCCCACAATATATTGTGACTTTACTAGAGTCCACGCACAGAGCACACAAGATGTCATGACTTCGGGAAAACAAAATACACGGGCTACAAGGCATTGTGACTTTACCCTCAAAGCAGTGTGACATTAATAGAGTCCACTACATTGGGGCCACAAGTCACCGTGACGTTACTAGCCCAAGACACAGGTACCAATAATACCTTTTTAGCGTCCAGAGAAACAAGGTCTACATAGCATCGAGATTTAAGTAATGGTAATACGAGGCATCGAAACTCTTTAGTAAAATGCAGTAACACTTCAGTCAAAATACATCAAGGGCTACAAGGCATCGTGACTATTCATACGGTACTGTACTTAAATACTAAGAGTCCAAAGACGCAGGGTAAATAAAAGAGTGAGGTTACTAGAGACGGGTAAAGTATAGCACGAGTTAAAGCCACGGGGTTTAAAAGGCTTCAACAATGATTCATAGCAAGGAACCGTTTCAGAGCTATTCATGCGTTATAATAAAAATCAGAAAATAGTCAACTTCGTCAGCTCCAATTAATTGTTTTATTTTACAGTTCTGGGTCTGCTTGCTTGAAACTAATTCTGCGTGATTATATCGGGATGTAAGGCCCCATAGGCTGATGGACTAAAACACAAAATGTATTCATGTTTAGACTCAGGATGGGGTTCTGCAGGATGGGGTGTTAATGTTTTTGTACAGCCGAGGTCAAAGCCGCATTATTTTGGCAGTGATGTTGTAATCTCCTTACACTATTGAACTTGGACATTTGTTTTTGCTGAGCATGGGCGAGAATTCCCTATACCCCTTTCCATCCAGAGTCCATTCCAGACTTCAATACAAGGGTATACGGACTTCTCGCCCATCGTATTGATCGCACCTCCCAATAAAACACTTTTTTTTTATTGGCGAGGCTGCTGCTGCGTTGGCAGTGATGCACAAAGCACAAATAACAAAATCTCAACACATTCGTCAATACCACTGCCTTAAATAGGAATACAATATATAATGGGAGACGTTACAGCCAATACCCCTTTTTGATTATTCTGCATTTATCGGCAACTGTAATATACTTGGCACGTGGCCGGCCGACATCTCGAGCAGGGGCACGTTTGAAGTGGTTGGCATTGGATGAGGGCAGCAAATGTTCCCTTGACGAAGATGGCAACGAGAGGGACTTCACCTCCCGTTGGACGCTGAGCCCCAAAACCCACGGGCGCGTGTCGCGTTTGGTGCACACATCCATGCGCTCGAGCAGGCGACGCGATGATGGGTCAACGTGCGCACCTTCTATTGGCGGCCACAAACACGTGGCTCGCTCTTCGCAATCGATGACTGCTGACACGCGAGAGTTGTCAATCCAAATGTGTGGCAGGAAAATGTATAAAATGTTGTCTCGTGTTGTTTTTTTTACCGTCTCGTTTATTTTGTTTAAAGTTTTTTTTCCTGTTTTTTTTTACAAGTTTATCTTCCTTCATCGGTCTATGCATTTGGATGCAAGTTGCATTGCACGAGACAAACATCTAATCATTACACACGCGATTCGATGATTGTAAATGTGAGCCGTAGATAATTAATTACTGGCCAAATCGTTCTTCGCACGGCTGATCTTGATGTAGAGCAACAGATATCATATTACACTGGCGAGGTTGAGCCAGATAATGGCATCAGTAGTAGCGAAGTGGTGAATCACTGTGATGCCTCTTTCGTCTTTATGAATCGGGCATTGAGTCGTTCTACTAGATTTGAAGCTTTCGTGACTGCAGGGATTCATACTCTTAGGTTTTTTCGGTAAAGTCACGTAGGTAAAAATAACAAGAATAAAATAATAAATGAAACTCAATCAAATCACGACGTTTCGGAGGCAACACAAGTCTCCGTCTCCAGGTGGGACCGTCACAGCTAAATTTACTGTATCAAGTGAAGAGAAATCCAAGAGACAAGATCTGTGTGACCACAATCTCCGCACACTGTCGGAGAGTTTTATTTTTATTTTCGACTTGTGCATCAAGTATCCACACCTGTTGCCACGATTGGTGCGGATACGGCTTCGGGCTGTGGGCCAGGAGCATCGCGAGGAGTTGTTTGTGACTCTCATCTGCACCTGTAGCGTGTGAAGTGCACCACGCCTGTGTTGTAGTCTTGCTGGAAAACCTCTATACCATGGGTGTAGTTTTCGTGGAGAGCCTCTATACCGATGGGTGTAGTTTTGCTGGAGTTTCTCTATACAATGGGTGTAGTTTTTCAGTAGAGCCTTGAGTGCAGTTTTGCTGGAGGTTTCACGCTTTGTGGACCACGTGTTTTTGTTTTACCCAACAAAAATGCCACGGATCGGGTCGGCACCCCCCAACACCTATCGAGACGCCGGCTGTGTGACGCGCCCGCCCGTGTGGCCGTGTTGGGGCTGACAGGTAGGGGTCTCCACTAAGCGAGGGAGCTCAAGCGAGGCCCTCAACTGGAGCAGTGTTTACCCAAACCTTTGTTGGCACGCGGACTGTCACTGTGAGCCCACGACGGTACGTGGCGGTCCACCATGCATCAAGAACACATTTTTGCATTTACAGTACGGTACTCTATAAGACATGAAAACCTATTCACTTTGCTTCTTATTGGCGAATCTGAATAGGTGCTCATTGGAGCAGTGAATATATGATTTTGTAAAAGAAAAAAGCGCAGAGTTCGAGGACCACTTGCCACGAACTTGTATCCACCAGTAGTCCGTGGACCGCAGATTCAGACCCTACTGCTCTTGGAAGAGGTGGGAGAAACTCACGCTTTACCCCACCACACGACAGTGGTGCACCCGTCTATACGATAGATGTGGGGGGGTTAGGAAACGTGTCCATGTTATCCACTGCCATGCCGGGAGATCATACAGATTTGATGAGCCACTACGAAAACAAAGCGATACAAACGATTGTATTGAGACTAAATCTCCTGTGTCTCTCGTAATATCACTCTGCTTTATTAACTCATTCAGACGCTGTCTTTCCGACAGACCTGTTCTTCACCTGAGGACGGCTGTTTGCGTTATGGCCGAAACGTCGTGAGAATGAATCCCTGCAGTCACGAAAGCTTTAAATCGAAATTTTACTCGGTGTTGTTTTACTCATAGTTTGTAGACAATACTACGTCGGTCTTCTCGTTTGTGTTGATGACTCTCTAATTCGTCCTTCCGTATAACTGGGAGAAGCATACAACGGGACGTCTGGTTTGCCGATCCACTCAGTGGCTTCGGAGCTCTTTCAGAAACTAAACAATGAAGCTCCAGGAGGCGGAGCGAAACTAGGAGCAGCGAATTTGTCAATGCACTGCTGGAAGAGGGCCTTCCCATGGTAACTTCATAAACTCCCAGCACGTGCAGCGAAATATTGGAAATCGTGTCAAACTAATAATCGGTGCAAGCTGAGCAGAAAGTCAAGAGACACACGGTCTATCGTTGGCGATGTGAATTTCAACCCGTGCATGGACTCGTCTATTACTATAGTATAATGGCGTTTGTCATTCGATGGCATGCATACGTGAATCTATATCATCACGGCCATATAGCATCTTCTTCAACATTAGCATCGTCGTCACTATCATCAAGCTGTAGGAGGGTTCATATCTCGTGAATAATTCCGGAGCCCATTAACCCCACCTCTTTACACCGGGGAATATTTTTCACAGATTATCCCCGGACAGTTCTGGGTGAAAGGCAGTCATCGACATCATTGAAATGATGTTATTTGCCAGCCTGCTAAAAATGTAACAATGCCTTTGCCGTACGTGATATGTTCGCAAAAGAAATAACAACATGTGCAGTAAAACAATTTCAAGGCTTTACAACAAAGAACAATTTTAATTAACCGCAAATAAATAAGTCAGCAAGCCACAGCGCCTCGATTCGTCAAAGGTAGATTTGCGCTGGCTCTTCTGATGGCTGTGGCCAAACAACCACAACAGCGTAGTATCCACCTACATGCACAGCAACATCAATATTCGCACGCGTCATTATACACACAGCGATGTCACGTAATAACCTTTCTATTTCCGCTTGTCATAGTTCAGAGGTGCAACCTATGCATTATTAAAGCTATGATGTCATACGTCATAATTCGTGTCTTTCACGCAAGCAGGACACGTGTGATAAGTACACAAGCTCGGCCATGCCCGTCGTGGGTTGAGTAAAAGTCGATTGGCTGTGCGCACGTTGCTGTTCCTAGGCGCAGGGTCCCTAACAGAGGTCGCAACCGGGTATCCGATACCCGTACCCTACCCGATACCCGGCTACCCGTACCCGATCGGGTACGGGTACCCGTTTGCGACCCTGGTGCGGCCGGGTACGGGTACGGGTAGGGAATCAAAACCCGTTTGCGACCTCTGGTCCCTAAGCTTCAGTCCTCTCGACCACCCCACGGTTGAACCTTCAGAGTTTACCCAGCGCTCCAGTAAGCGAGTCTGAACATTCGTTACCGAGCACTCTTTGTATGATGAGTCCAGTCCATCACGAACGCGCCGCGCCGAATCACACCCAGGGTCGGCTGTTAGGAGCTACAACGTTCTAAGTCTGTTGCAAGATTGTCTCAAACTCAAGGATAGATGCTGAACATCTGCGACGGGAGAATTGGGTCCAGGTATTGGGGCCAGAGACCCTGGAACTGCGCTCGCCGTACGGAAACAAGGATTACCCCCTTTCAAGTATTAATACAAATGAAAAAATGTTATACGCTGCACGTAGTCTGAGAATGTGCGTACACGTGTGTGTGTGTGTGTGCGTTCCACGTGGCATCTCCAGCATCCATTCAAACGAATCAAGAGCCATCCTCTGCGCCACGTGGGGCGTGTGTAACAATCATCGGGCGCGTGAAGCGTGTTACGACTTTGCATCGGAAAGGAGGGACATTTGGTAAACTTGGTATAGAAGACGCGCTGTGGTGGGAATGGAGTGTGAGAGGGAAGCCGTTGTCGTGACACACCGAGCTGATTATTTGAAGCAGCGTTTGGTGTAGGTGATCGCAAACACGACACGATCGTGTACCCATTCATCCGTGTTCAAGATCGTGGGATTTGCACTGATAAACCAGACAAGTTACTGCTTGTCGCATGTCTTATATAGAGCATCTAAAAAAAACCTCATCAAGGAAATGAACGACAAACGCTGTGTAGAAGATGTTCCCATACAGGAGGAGCCGTGTTCTCTGATGATTAAAATTCGGCGTGGGAAGGCAGAGAGGTGGTGTTTTAATTAGTGTTAATGAAAATAGCAGGCACAGAGACAGTAGCAACACAGAGACGTGCATGATAGCGCCTGTACGACCAAGTTCTCCTGAGTTGATTGCACCACGATCTCATCACATCTTGGATGCTAAGCGGGGTTGAACCCGTTGAGTATTTTGATGGATGTGTGACTTGGTGGTGTAGGCCTGAGAAACAAAGTAGCCATGAGATGGTGGTGGATTAATGAATCTTGTCTGTGCGGAGCTTTTTACGTCGAAACGGCCAAATATCCCAACGCGTGGCAAGTCCTTCCTGATATTGAGTGACGGGTCTCTGCGAGGCTTTCCTGGATAAATAAACGACATTTATAATATGTATTATTAGATTCCCTTGGACCAATGTGGCCAGGCAGATGTGGGGCCGCGGGATGCAGGATTCATGGGTGTCCAGAGATTTCAAAAATACATCTCACCGTGGGATCATTACTTCCATAATTCACCACCGCACCGTAGATCAACAAAGCCACCAAACATTTTCAAAGGCGACCTCTACCCCATTCCCCATCGCTCCCCGCCCCCGAAATGAGAGGCGAGATACATACTGTATTGATGTTCACTCTGGCCCAATGAGTCGCCTGCAGAGACGGGTCACGCCACACCATCTGAACACCCCGTGGGGCTTTCACGGCTAAGCCACCAGTGTTGTAGCCCAGTAAACAGGGGACGTTGGCATGTGGTTTGGTTGCAACAGTTGGACCAACGTTCACCCAACGTTCCATCTTTAACTCGGTGAGCATCTCAGTCGTGATCTTGTGAAGATTACTGAAGACCAAACAACAACGAAATACACATTATTTTGTGATCTAATTAAGGCTTTAAAAATCTCGTCATCATCACCATCAACACGACCTTCTAACATAAATTTATCATGACTATTTAATGAAAGTACAAACGCTGTACGCGGTTTTATCGCTCTCAAATGAATTACTGTACACGTTTACCTAAAGATGCACACACTTGAACACATACAGACATATGAATTTGATACTTGTAGAACTCGGATTATGCATTGCAACTACTGTATAGCGTATACAGGCTATGACAATTTCAGGAAAAATTATCCACTACTATGGACAATTAAATAACCTGACGTTTTGGGCAATGGCACTTCTTTAGAGCAAAAGCGGTTCACAGTTGGCGATCACACTTTACACTCTGGCGCCTTTAAAGTAAAATAACAATAGTTACGTATTTTAATTGACATATGAACAGTTTTCCTTGAACATATACCGATTAACAAACACTCCAAGATAAATACCCACCTAGACTTGTATAAATAAAATATCAACAATGTACAGCTCTTTATTAATCCACTGCTGGATGAAGGCCTCCCTTCACCGAGTTATCCACACTTCATTCTAAGTGCTATTCTGTTAGTTTAACACCTAGGAGGCTTTCGCGACCAATATTATTCATTATAGAGGGTTTTTGGGTTAGATCGCGTAAATATAACTGTGTCCATATTCTTTGGGTCTTTCGGTAAAGTCACGTAGATAGGTTCAAATTAATGAAAATTAAATGAACAAAAAACTATGACGATCGCTTGTGTTGTGATCGAAACGTCGAAGTTTTTTGTTTATTTTATTTTTATTAATTTGAACTTATCTACGTGACTTTACCAAAATACCCAAAGAATATGAATTCCTGCAGTCACGAAAGCTTTAAGTCAAGATTTATAAATGTGTCGTTAAACCCGCCACCACCCGACACAGCCAATTAGTAAGGTTTGTCCCGTAAACAAACATGCCAATTCGTTACTAGTTCAGCACACCGGTGTTGTGGTTTTACGCTTTTACAACCTACTACTCAAATTGTAAATGTTGTGGATTTACGCTCCAACACACCGGTGTGCTGATCTAGTAACGAATTGGCATGTTTTGTTACCGTGACACACCTTATACATTGGCTGTGTCGGGTGGAGGCGGGTTTAACGACACATTTATATTTACGAGATCTAACCCCAAAAAACCCTCGATTATTGATGCGATTGTGTTATTGTCGGTGTTCCATATCTCAGTTTACTCATGTAACTGTAACGCGTAGACACGGGGAGCCTTTCAATGACATTCAGGCGCAAGCCTATGCTTGCTCATGATTATACATTCCATATTTTAACATTCTATATTTCAACAATATATTTCACACGTGTGCCGCTGTTGAGTAACACCAATGTCACGGTGACATTCAGACAGGTGTCTTAGCCACGGCTGAAACGATGAAAATGTAAAACATCTATCCATCTTAAACCCTGTGTGAAAAAAAGGTGATGACCTTATTTTTGAAATCCATTTTACGTCACGTGACGTCTGTTCCAACATTTCACTTTGTAAATACGGTAAATACATTACCTTGCATTATAAAAACAATAAACTTGACTCAAAACTGGCAGTTTTTTGTGCCCTTAAAAAAAAACTTGCATTCATGTACAACTGTGCGCTAGTTGACTGATGTGTTTGGCTGCATCTGGTGGTGGAGGGTCTTGGCGACACAGATCATCACTGCCACTTTTTAACCAAAAATAATAATCAATGATGAATCAACCTTTCCACTGTAAGTCATGTCCTCTCGCCTCAGCAGATATTATTCAATGACGTGCCGCTATTAAAGCGGTGTTTCAAATAAGAATCGATTATATTTATTTGTATTAACGTTATGAATAAAACATACCGCAAGTGGCTGCTGCTGGGGTCATTCGAACATGAACACCATGTACTGGCTCGAGAATCAGCGAATAGGAGCATCGTCACATCTATAGTTGTGACTGATGAGAGTTCCTACACTTGCGTGAATTGTGCACATTCACAATGTTTGTAAGAAAACGAGCACACCCACATAGGCAATACAAAGAAAAATATTCCCCCTATAGCCTGAACAGACTGTTGGGGCAAGTGCTGTTCGCGAGCACCTATGAATGCCGGCACGAAACAAGAGGGGGTGAGTGGCCAACACCACACCTGGCCGCTTTTGTCTCCCCAGGCCTAATGTTTACATGCCGCATTAGGTAATGAGTCGACCTAGGGGAGGCCCAGGATCGGTTCAGATATTCGTCACCTATGTCGGCTGTCACCGGCAATTGAATATCACTTGATACAGATATTTTGCTGTGACAGTTCCGCCTGAAGACAGAAGCTTGTGTTGCCTCCGAAACGTCGTGATTTTATTGTTTTTGTTTTTTTATTTTTTATTAATTTTTATTTCATTTTTACCTACGTGACTTTACCGAAAGAACTACGAGTATGAATCCTTGCAGTCACGAAAGCTTCAAATCTAGAATTGAATACGGCTCACCGGGTTCTTAGCGTAGTGTGCACGTGTGTGCCCTCGACGCGCACGCACGTGCATGTACTTATATCCAGCAGCATAATGATTACAATAGGACATAGGTCCTAGTCCCCAGATTCCACCCAGGGGATGCCAAATCTGTCATTGCTGTTCAAGTGCACTCCGACACAAAGACAAAGATCCCCCTTATAGACTTTCGCAGATTGCTGCAGCAAGTGCTGCTCGTGGGTGACACGCACACAATCACACGTGAGGTCAAAGAGTATCTGTACATTTACATTATGAGACCTGCTTTGCCAATATCAAGATACAGTAATAGGGTTTTACCCTTTAATCTGGCACCAAAACTGACACCTTTATACAAGGGATCATGTTTGCAATAACCACAACACAACCAGTCAAAATGCAAACAAAAAAGAGACAACTCTGATAATGATATGCACTGTCCTTGAAATTGATTGAATCCCTTGTATAAAGGTGTCAGTTCTGGTGCCAGATTAAAGGGTAAAACCCTATTACTCTATCTTGCTACTGGCAAAGGAGGTCTCATAATGTACATGCTCACCCCGAGCACTCAATACTCTGATAGTGCGCTGTTTTTGAGTTGTACGCATTTTGGCGTCATCTGGTCCAACACCAGTGGAGACGAGGCTCTAAGAAAAGTCGTCTCGGGTGTGGACCAATCAACTTCAAGGACAGTGCATATCATTATCAGAGTTGTCTCTTTTTGTTTGCATTTTGACTGCTTGTGTGAGTGGGTGGTTGAGTGGGTGAGTGTGTGGGTGAGTGAATGAGTCCGTGGGTTAGTCGGTGAGCGAGTGGGTGGGTGAATGAGTGATTGGGTGAGTGATTGGGTGAGTGTGTGGGTGAGGGCGAGTGAGTTGTTGTGACCTGCCATGCGGAGGCTGAACCACAGCATGGACAAGCACTGGGCCCGCTCCGCTGACCCTAATCCGTGACCCCTATGCGGGATCTCGGGGTGGAGTGGCCTGGCGGCTCCTCCTCTGCGAGACGCCGAATGGGACGTGCGCCGCCACCGTGCCGTGCTCCTTGGCGCCCTCGATGTGGAACATCTGGTCGTCGAAGAAGATGTGCGGGCGGATCTTCTCGAGCAGCGGCCCCTTGGGCGCGCCGGCGAGGAAGAGCGCCTCGTCCAGCTCCAGGCCCCAGCTGCGCAGGGTCTTGAGCGCACGGCCGCCCGAACTGGCCGCGCTGCGCGCCGTCACCAGGTACGTGCGGATCGGGCAGGTGAGGCGCTCACCCTTGGCGTAGAACTTGCGCTGGATCCGCCCCAGGGCCTCCGCGAAGCCCTTGAAGGGGCCCTGCAGTGCGGAGGGCAGAGGGGACGGAGAGAGCGGCTGGGTGGGGCCGGCTCTGTGCGAGGGGAGCGCAAGCGGGAGCGCTCGTGCAGGCCACCTACAGCTGTTAATAAGCATGGTTTGAGGTTGTTCCGAGTCTGTCTCTGCTCTGGGAAGGAGGTGGGGCGAGTGCTGGTGGTTGGCTGGATGCCCAGGCAGTGCTGGCTTTAGGCAATGTAGGCATTTGCCCAGGGCGGTGGCAGATTGCTTGGACTTGGGAGGGGTAGCAATGTCTAAATAGATGGGCAGCCCCTGCATGTGACGCGGGGGGGGGGGGGGGCGGCACCTGAGATTGTGACGCGGGTGAGGGGGGGGGGCACCTGCGAGAGGGGCTGGTCGACGTTCTTCTTCTCATGCTCGAAGAAGGAGTCGAGGCCGTGCTCCTTGACGATCCTCTCCGACTCATCCGAGAAGAGCACCGCGTCACCGTCAAACGCCACACGCAGCTGCTTTGTCCCGGGCGCCACCTGTATCCCCGCGCCGGGGCTGAACATTGTGGCCGCCGCGATGCCTGCCCACGCGGCACGGCCGGGGATTCGTTTGTGCCATGCCCAGCGCACCACATCCACCATGCCCCTCTCTCTCCGTAGTTGTGGCCCTGGTCACTTTCCATATATTTTTTATATATTTGTATATATTTTTTTATTTTATACTTTATATATTTTTCAGACAGTGGTGAAGCCCTGGGCATGGGCAGTGAGGACACGTAGAGGTGTTTATGCAGGTGGCTGTGTGGGAGAAAGCAGGCCTGAGGAGTTGCTGTCATAGTCACCGTTGTCACCATCATACAGAGGTTAAGGAGCAGCCCTGCGATTACTGCCGCACACTGCTGCTGGTGGCGTGGAGAACTCCTCTCGAGGGTACCTGGCCTACCCGTCCATGCTGGCCCAGACATATTTACACCGCTGGGTGCCCGCGCCGGAAAGTCAAACAGGCCACCTCTGGATTGCAAGTCCAGGGTGCTAACCGTGACACCGCGACAGCTGTTAACTACCATGATTAACTTGGTCATCATTATCAATGTCATCTTCATCATGGCCACACCTACCCATCCTCAATCAACCAACAAACCCATATACCCATAATCCATGATCATAATCACCACCACCCTCAACACCACCATCATAATACACATGACAAATAATCACCGCATCTCCCAAAGCTCTTCTTGACCGGATTTGATAACTAAACATCACCCCAAAAAACGATGCCTTTCTTCCATACGACATCATTACCACCAACATCAATGTTATACGGAACCAATTTGACACCATCATCACCACCATCGCCTGAGTGGTGGGCTATAACCGGCGAGTGGTGCGCGCACCTTCCGCCAGGGCCTCCTGCACCTTCTCCTCGTCGGCCGACAGGTAGAGATTGGTGTTGTAGGCCTCCAGGTACCCGATGGGGCTGTTCCCTCCCGTCAGGCAGAAGCGCTCGATGTTGAGACCTGAGCGTCCAGCACCAGCCACATGCCGTGCGCACACACACGCTCTGGGTCAACCGGACTGTTCAGCCCCTGCTGTCTCATCGAACATTTCATCTCACAACCTCCGATATGCCTCAAACAGGCCTCCACTTCCTCCTTGTCAAGCCCCGAGTCTCTCGAACCAGACAAGGTGAGCGGTGCTTTCCTTTCACCACTCCGGTCGTCTGCAATTCACTCCCAACATAGACTAATTCCCATAGACCCACACAGAGACCCACAGACCCACACAGAGATCCATAGACCCAGACAGAGACCCATAGACCCACACGGAGACTCATAAACTCACACAGAGACCCATAGACTCACATAGAGACCATTAGACCCACACAGAGACCCATAGGCCCACATAGAAACCCATAGACCCACAGAAACCCATAGACCCACACAGAGACTCACAGACCCATACAGAGGCCCATAGACCCACACGTAGACCCACAGACTCACATAGACACCCTGTTGCAGCTCCAGGCTTCTGGAATTCACTCCCTCCTCCTCTCTCACTGTGCCGCACATCGGTGTCTGTGCCATCCTTCTGTCAGAATCTGAATGCTTTTCTCTCTCTCTCTCTAATTTATTCTCCCGTGCCTCTGCATGTCCTTTTTTAAGTTCAATTTGTTCACGTTAAATATGTAACAATGAAAGAATGAATGAAGGAGAATTTTCACACAACGTCATTCGGCCCTCCTGGTTTCGTGACCGAAGGATGCTGGACGCAGTTTCTAGCCGAACGTCGTATTCTAATCGCTAAATTTGGCTGTGAGAATTGCTCTTAAACTCACCGTTGAGCGAGCTGAAACAATTACAATCAGCGCGTTAAACACTTCTTAAGCGTGACAATTTACATTTTTGTCTGTCAACAAAAAAATGTGGCCACATCATTACGTGGCCGAACTAAAAACACTTTTATGGATAATAGTCATAATAACGATAATCTTCTTGGTTCTTTCGGTAAAGTCACGTAGAAGGGAAATAATAAAATAATTAAAAATTAAACATTATGTTTTCTTTTTATTATTTTATTAAATAAAAAAGAATGTTTTATTTGTATTATTTTATTAAATAAAACATTATGTTTCATTTATAATTATTTTATTATTTCCCTTCTACGTGACTTTACCGAAAAAACCAAGAAGATGAATCCCGGCAGTCACGAAAGCTTTAAATCGAAAAATAACGATATTTCTTATATCATGCTTTTGTACACAGGCAAGCCTCCGTGAGTCTCAAGACTGCGTGTCTTGTTTGCACCGGGATGTTGGCCACTTCCATCAACGAGCGTTTGACTTTGTATAGAAGCCAGAAGGAAACCTGAGAAATCTGGAGAAAACCCACCATGCATACGAGGGGGATGACACTGCACAGATGGGCTCAGGAATGTGTTTCTGCACTGCTGGCCACCTCACAGCATGAACCCACGACAATCGATATACCCAGGCAACCTCTCCCCGAAGTGGTAATTCGGCTCAACCCTGCTTAGAGCCAGTGTGTTCATACAATGTTCTTGATGCTAACCTGGGATGGATGGAATATGTTCCATGTTGCTTGTGTTTACTTAAAACCTATTCACAGCATCCTAAATGTAATTATTCAGCACTGTGGAGGCAGAGAGGGGTGGTGGATCGTACGATTGTTGTGCAACTCCCTTTCCGTGGGCATCGAGGAGGAGCCGTACCGTGGCTCTGCCAGGGGATGGCGCCGGTATGGAAAACAACGGTGCACTCCACCTGTTCCGTCCGTATGGGATAGAGTGTTTCCCCCTCGCACGCGTGGTTTTTCTCCGGGTGCTCCGATTTCCTTCCACATGTGTAAACACCCATTAATCGGGCGATCACACGATCATATACAGAGGAACGCAGAGCTTGGGAACGTGTTGGTGGTGCCGAGCTCACAGCCTGGCTGCTGCCGGCCTTGTCGCTCGTCTATGGCTCCTCCTTGCGCCTCGGACTCGTCCTCTCTCTGCGAGAACGCCGTGCGGCGACGCAGCGTTACACGTTGGCAGCGTTGTCATCATCATCATCATCGTGCCGTGTATCGTGTTTGCAACGGGACACTTTGTTTTAAGAAGTCTGAATCACCTGCAGCCATCTGTCCCATCGAGTATTCAAACGACGGACTGAATGTGAGCAAACGCCGGGTGCGTGAGTGGAGATGTGAATAGTGGCGCTGGTAAAGTGGCACGGCAGGGTAGTGGCGCTGGTAAAGTGGCACGGCAGGGTAGTGGCTATGCTTGCTCGTTGCTATTTACAGCCCGGGGTCAGACGTCCGTGGATGTCGTGCGGGAAGCAACACATGTCGCATTTATCCGCATGTACGCGAAGCAACAACAGCAGCAGCAGCAACAGCAGCAGCAAGAGCAGCAGCAAGAGCAGCGTCAATAGCAGAAGCAGTACCAGCAGCGGTGATAACAGTAATAGCAGCTGGAATAACAGCAGTGTCAGTGGCAGAATAATAGCAGCAGAGGCAGTAACAGCAGAAGTAACGACAGTGAAAATATCGGCAGCTGCAGCAACAGCAGCTATGGTAGCAGCAAGAGCAGCAGCAAGCGTGATTTGCTTAAAGCTTTAGTGGGAGGTGTGGCATTGGCAGTGCCTGGGTGGGTAGGGCAAGGTGGGTGGCACAGGCGTGCGGCTGCCGGCAGTGGGTAGTGCACGGCAGTGGTGTAGCGAGTGGGGTGGGTGGTGTCGCGTTTCTGACTGCTTGGTACACGCGGTGTGTTATGATAATGCGGTGCACAGTGGTGGTGCGGTGGTGGTGGTGTGTGTGTGGGTGACGTGGTGGTGTGTGTGGGTGACGTGGTGGTGGTGGTGTGTGTGGGTGACGTGGTGGTGTGTGTGTGGGTGACGTGGTGGTGTTGTGGTGTGTGTGGGTGACGTGGTGGTGGTGTGTGTGGGTGACGTGATGGTGGTGGTGTGTGTGTGTGGGTGACGTGGTGGTGGTGTGTGTGGGTGACGTGGTGGTGGTGGTGTGTGTGGGTGACATGGTGGTAGTGGTGTGTGGGTGACGTGGTGGTGTGTGTGGGTGACGTGGTGGTGGTGTGTGTGGGTGACGTGGTAGTGGTGTGTGTGGGTGACGTGGTGGTGGTGTGTGTGTGTGACGTGGTGGTGGTGGTGTGTGTGGGTGACGTGGTTGTGGTGTGTGTGGGTGACGTGGTGGTGGTGGTGTGTGTGTGGGGGACGTGGTGGTGGTGTGTGTGGGTGACGTGGTGGTGGTGTGTGTGGGTGACGTGGTGGTGGTGGTGGTGTGTGTGGGTGACGTGGTGGTGTGTGTGTGGGTGACGTGGTGGTGTTGTGGTGTGTGTGGGTGACGTGGTGGTGGTGTGTGTGGGTGACGTGATGGTGGTGGTGTGTGTGTGTGGGTGACGTGGTGGTGGTGTGTGTGGGTGACGTGGTGGTGGTGGTGTGTGTGGGTGACGTGGTGGTAGTGGTGTGTGGGTGACGTGGTGGTGTGTGTGGGTGACGTGGTGGTGGTGTGTGTGGGTGACGTGGTGGTGGTGTGTGTGGGTGACGTGGTGGTGGTGTGTGTGTGTGACGTGGTGGTGGTGGTGTGTGTGGGTGACGTGGTTGTGGTGTGTGTGGGTGACGTGGTGGTGGTGGTGTGTGTGTGGGGGACGTGGTGGTGGTGTGTGTGGGTGACGTGGTGGTGGTGTGTGTGTGGGTGACGTCGTGGTGGTGGTGTGTGTGGGTGACGTGGTGGTGTGTGTGGGTGACGTGGTGGTGGGGTGTGTGTGGGTGACGTGGTGGTGTGTGTGGGTGACGTGGTGGTGGTGTGTGTGTGGGTGACGTGGTGGTGGTGTGTGTGTGGGGGACGTGGTGGTGGTGTGTGTGGGTGACGTGGTGGTGGTGGTGTGTGTGGGTGACGTGGTGGTAGTGGTGTGTGGGTGACGTGGTGGTGTTGCGGTGTGTGTGGGTGACGTGGTGGTGTTGCTGTCTGTGTGGGTGACGTGGTGGTGGTGGTGTGTGTGGGTGACGTGGTGGTGGTGTGTGTGGGTGACATGGTGGTGTGTGTGGGTGACGTGGTGGTGGTATGTGTGGGTGACGTGGTGGTGGTGTGTGTGGGTGACGTGGTGGTGGTGTGTGTGGGTGACGTGGTGGTGGTGGTAGTGGTGTGTGGGTGACGTGGTGGTGTTGCGGTGTGTGTGGGTGACGTGGTGGTGCGTGTGGGTGACGTGGTGGTGGTGTGTATGAGTGACGTGGTGGTGGTGTGTGTGGGTGACGTGGTGGCGTGTGTGGGTGACGTGGTGGTGGTGTGTGTATGGGTGACGTGGTGGTGGTGTGTGTGTGGGTGACGTGGTGGTGGTGTGTGTGAGTGGGTGACGTGGTGGTGGTGGTGTGTGTGGGTGACGTGGTGGTGTGTGTGGGTGACGTGGTGGTGGTGGTGTGTGTGGGTGACGTGGTGGTGGTGTGTGTGGGTGACGTGGTGGTGGTGGTGGTGTGTGTGGGTGACGTGGTGGTGGTGGTGGTGTGTGTGGGTGATGTGGTGGTGTTGCTGTGTGTGTGGTTGGGGAGCGGTAGTGTAGCGGTGTGCTGCGCTACAAACCCGGCGGTCCGAATTAGATTCGCCACTAGGGAGACAAAGGCGGTCGGGCGTGGTTTCTGGCCACCCACCCCCTCGTGTGCCGTGCCTGCCTTCATAGGTGCTCGTTAACGGCACTTGCCCCAACAGTCTGTTCAGGCTACACGGGGGGGGATCTTTGTCTTTGTTTTCGCGGCGGTGTGTGGCGCCCCGGGGGTCGTACCGTAGTGGTTGATGGAGTTGATGAACCGCACGCCGACCTGCGCGTGGTTGTGCGAGATGAGGAGGATGTCGAAGAGCTCGTCGCTCTGCGGGTAGAGCTCCCGCAAGCGAACGTTCACGTTCTCCAGCGCCTGAGGGTGGGCGGAGGTGGTGAGGGGCAACCGAGGCAGAGGGGGCACCAGACCGGTAGTGTCTCTGAGTCAGTCACTACATCTGTATGAAAAACGGTATGCACATTTAATGTTTCCGTATTTAGTAACGAAAGTCCCGGTCATCCTTCCCACGCACACGCAGAACGCGACCAGATCTCTCTCATGAACAACCTCGCAAGCGTATGCCCCGCATACGCTTGGGACGGAGAGTGTCGCTGAGACTCCAGAGGGTTTTCCTGGAGAGTCCAGAATTGGAAAGTTTTGTCAAAAGTTCGGAACGTTTATTGTGCTTCATGTGAGAGGAGACCCCGAGCACCCGGATAACACCCACCACTAATATGAGCAGCAAACACTATTCAGAAGTCCACAAGGACCGGTTCACGACCTCACTTGCTACAACTGCCATCTCCTGTCCACCATGCATAGAGAATCGATGTTAATGGATGATTTTAGTTTATGACGGCAGCGCAAATTTAATGTTTACACGGCAGAGCATTGCTCTCTGGAAAGTGCATTAACAGCATTTAATAATAATATTTTAAAGCACTTTGTCCATGCACTGCTGGATGAAGGCCTCTCTAAACTGTGTCAGTCATGGAGGTTGTTTGACCCTACGTCACCATGGACCGGGAAGAGAGACCAATTTATTTGCCACTGATGTAAGCCGTGGCCGGCATCAAACTCAGGCCACTGGCTTCATGGCACAGTGTGCAATCCACCGCACCACCACCACCGCTACCGCTCCACCATTTCAACGTTGTTGCTGCCGCCGACACAATCCAATTCACACGAGCTAACAGTCAAATCAGTCAGCGCTGTAGTAGGGACATTCATTTCAGTCGCAATCTCTGGCTGCATCTAAATTTAGGCGGCCGTTCTTGCCGTGGTTGCGTCCCCGTGTTCCAACAGACAGCTGCACAATTATTATAATAATAGTATTAACAGTAAGAGTAGCAGTGGTAATAATCCGCTTTTATTGCGTGCAAATTCCGCGAACGGACATTATATGTTGGAGCGCTATCCGGAGGCGTGGAGCCTTGCTCAGAGTTCCTCAAGAAGCTTCTAAAGATTTGAAGCTTTCGTGACTGCAAGGAATCATATTCTTAGGTTTTTTCGGTAAAGTCACGTAGGTAAAAAAATTAAATTAATAAAAGTAATACAACTTGATACAGCTATCGTGCTGTGACGGTTCCACCTGAAGACGGAAGCTTGTGTTGCCTCCGAAACGTCGTGATTTTTATTTTATTTTACTTTTATTAATTTAAAATTTTTACCTACGTGACTTTACCGAAAAAACCTAAGAATAAGCTTCTAAAGCTCAAGAATCTTGGGAATCGGCGAGTGCGCCTGTGTCCGGGTGCTCACTGACGGTGGAAGGAGACCGGTTGCTGCTGCTGCTGCGTACGTGAAGCAGGGATAGAGCTCAAAAGCTGCTGCTCTTGTTGCTACATTCAAGTTCAAGTTCATTTATTAGGTATAGCCCTGTGAGCCATTCAGCTCTTGAATCGGGTGCAACCGCAACAAACAAAAAACAAAAACATGAACAAAAAAACATCTTAAAGTGAATATGTGACTAAGTGCAAACAGAAAATCCAAGAAAAGACAGCAAAAATATTGCAGAAAAAACACCGTACACCAACGCTGTGTGCAAAAATCCCAGTGGGATGCAAGTCAAACAACAACAACCACAAGACAACTTAGATTAAGGCCATCAGTCTAACTCTGTACTACAACAACACAAACATGGCTAAACCAATACACTTTTCGAAATCACCAAAATAAAGCCATGAAGGCAATGAAAAAGCAATCATAGGAACTGACGGAATTTTCACAATAAATGGCATAAACAACATGTACTACCAAAACCCTGCAGCCATAGCTGGCTGCATGAGTCACTCCACAACAGCAGGAGCATCAATCGGAGTATTGTAATTTTTCAATGCACCTTTAAGATCAGCACACTAAATCAAAACACAGGTCATACTTTGTAGCGATCATCCGGAGCGAAACATTTTATTTTAGGTCACTGAATAGCACTGGCAGCTAGGGGTGTACAACTCCTCTAAAGCAGTTTTGAGTGAAGATCTCATAGGTAGTGACTCAAGTTTCAATTTATTTGCAACAGCATTCCAGACCCTGGGGGCTACATGAGAATGGGCGACCGCCTGTTACTCTCCCTGACCTGGAGACGGCTGTCTGGTTGGGGGACGGGCTGCTCAAGGCAGGGTTAGGTGACAAGGGAGCTCGGCTTGGCCAGTTACAGATACGACCCCCGGCAAGGGGAGCACTTCTGCTGGTGATGACGATGATAGTGAGTGAAGTGGCAGCTGGAGGCGGTGGTCGTGTTGCTGATTAGGTTGTATTGTGTGTTGAGTGAGTGGATTTGGTGATGGTGGTGGTCGTGTTGGTGATTAGGTTGTATTGTGTGTTGAGTGAGTGGATTTGGTGATGGTGGTGGTCGTGTTGGTGATTAGGTTGTATTGTGTGTTGAGTGAGTGGATTTGGTGATGGTGGTGGTCGTGTTGGTGATTAGGTTGTATTGTGTGTTGAGTGAGTGGATTTGGTGATGGTGGTGGTCGTGTTGGTGATTAGGTTGTATTGTGTATTGAGTGAGTGGATTTGGTGATGGTGGTGGTCGTGTTGGTGATTAGGTTGTATTGTGTGTTGAGTGAGTGGATTTGGTGATGGTGGTGGCCGTGATAGTGATTAGGTTGTATTGTGTGTTGAGCAAATGCTTGTGGTGGTGATGTTGGGGGGCCGTGGTGGTGATTAGGGTGTACTATGTGTTGAGCGAGTGGTTGTAGTGGTGAAGACACATCGTGGTTTGGGTGGTGGAGGTGAGGCTGACTGTGAGTTCAGTGATGCTGGTATTGGGGGTGGGTAGTGTTTCGGATAGTTGCGTGGCTGGTGGTGCGTTGTGGCGGTCGCGGGTGTGGCCGAGTGATGGCGAGGGTGCGTGAGTGGCGCTGGTGTGGTGGTGGTGGTGACGATGGTTGGGTCCCCCTCTCTCCTCTTCCCTCCGTGGGGGGCCCGCACCTGCACGAAGGGGAAGGCGGGCCCCTTGGGGAGCGGCTCCTCCTCGTGCTCCGTCTGGTAGCGCACGTACTCCTCCACGCCCTGCGAGTCGAAGATGTCGCGCTCCAGGGACATGTCGAAGAGCGATCGGGACGACACGGCGATCGTGATGGCGTGCTGGGGCTTCGGCTGCACGCACGCGCAGAGTGCACGCGCACAAAAGACAAAGGTGCCCCGTGTAGCCTTCGCAGGCTGGTTGCAACAAGTGCTGTTCGCGAATGGCACCGATCAAGGCCTGCATGGCACACGAGGGCGTGGGTGGCCAAACCACCGCCTTTGTCTCCTGAGTGCTGATGTTTACACACTGCACCAGGTTCTCACTATTAAGGCTGAGTCGACAAAGGAGAGGCACCGGACTGGTTCAAATATATGCCACTGTTATTGGCCGTAAGTGGGAATCGATCTCAGGTGACTGGTTCATAGTGGTTAGAAAAGTGCACCAACCACTCCACTAAGGCTCCCAAACACGTGCATCCAGGGATTAATTTCTCATGGAATATTTTCCAGAGACCTCCACCCCCTGGGCCCGCTCATCATCGTCATCATCACTATCATCAAGGTGAGCAGAACTATTTTCCAGACCTCAGCCCCGGACAGCTCTGTTTTCAATGAATGAATCCTTGCATATGCCCTATGCCTCATTTCCATTACCATCTGACACCGTTCGGAACCAGGCTGCACTGGTCTGGGAATGATCGGGGTTCCACCAGCGCTCCTGGGCTATCTGTCCCCATGCCCGACATGCAATGGAAAGCTCCATACAAAAATTAGGTAGTTTCGTTTTTTAGTCAACGGTATTCTGGTCCATGTATGATTTCAAGGTTCTGTTTTTTTATCATGAGGACGGACACGCAACGCGGGTTTGGCCCTAAAACAGCCACGGGCCGGCATGTAAACACACGAACGTAGTCAAGCCAGGCGATCATGGCGCTATGGAAACAATTCATTAGAACCACATGGGAGTCCTGAGATTTAAAAAAAGTTTTTTTTAATGTGCTACGTGATACCAACTTTCTGATGCCATGCTCTCACACGGGATAATGCACTGCACACTGTGATAGTTCGAAGTTGACATATCTTTGTTTTATGACAACACAATGCTGAGAACTCAGTTGGAATAACAATGCTGAGAACCCAGTTGGAATAACATTCACGAAGAGACTATGGTTTGTTTGTTTTTATCAAGGAAAATCTCTTTTGAATGGGGCATCACGAGCAAAAAAAAGACGAAATAATCTAATTTCTAGAAGAGCCGATAGTCATCTTAGGGTGTTCAGTGGTGGTGCAGCTCGGGTTAAGACACTCGATCAGCTTAAACTCCAGGCAATTATTGTTTGCTTACACGAACCCTCGCCACCTGTCTGTGCAACGAGACGACGAGAAGCCGTTATATGATGCAGCGAATCAATTACATTGTCGGAAAATTGAGACACCCAGACACGAACCCTGCGCGGGGCATCGCCCGCCACGATAGCAGCTGCATCGGCACAGACTTTGTAAAGCCCAACTCCAGGCAGGGCGTGTCATCAGAGTCGGAATGACGCCCAGCGGTCGAGACGAACAACGGAGCGAGGGCCGGCGGGGTCAACACGCACGAGATGGCATCTACAGAGGAGGTGGCGCGATGAAATGAGATCATACGCAGCAGATAGACAGATGGGATGGTGACGGCTTAAGGGAGGGCTTCGTCCAGCAGTGGATTGATCATGGTTCTCGATGATGGACTCCAAAGCGAGCGTTCGAATATGTCGTCTGAATGACATTTCTGTGTCCGATGGCCTTGCGAAACATTCAGGTGTATATTTAGAGGTGCGATCGAGTGAGCGATGCCGCCCTGTTGTTGCCCAGTTTGCTGTGCCAGCAGGTAATGGCAAGCCTAAAATTATCCCGATGCCAGTTGCTGTCGGCTGTCTGTGAGGGTTATGCATCGTGCTGTTTGTGAGCTGCTATACATAGCCATTATCGCCCTGCACACGAACCCGCGGTGGTGGAGGGGCGTGCTACGCGCGGTGAAATGCTAATGGCTTTCAACCGCAGGGGTGGGCCATCTCGAACTTGCAGGCCGCGTGTTTACTGCGATTGTTTGCCGGTGCTGAGATCGTGAACATAACGGTGGTTTGAAAACACGACCGAGTCACCCGCAAAAGGGTCAGATCTCAGACGTTAAGCAGGGCTGAGCCTGGTTCGTGCAGTACTTTGGATGGGATGACAACCAAGGCGAAGCGTCAAGGCGTTGCAGATGTGGGGCTACTTGCGAGGTGTGTCCAGGAGAGGACAGTGCCGAGTGTCAACCCCCTAAGCTCGTATACTGCGCCCTGCTGGGTTAATTCTCCGATTTTCTGCCGCGTGCCCAATACTCAACAATTGGGGTTTTGCCAAACATCTCAAATTAAAAAAAAAGAAACGGGGGATTGCATAGCTTAGAGACTTACACTTTAACAAAGCAACTATAATGAAAGCTTCTGGCCTTTGAATGCAGGCGTTATGCAGGCGCTCGGAATCTCAAGGCAGAATAGGACACGAGAAACTTGGGGGTTCGGAAATCAACGTGGGAGGAGATATTTGTAGCGGTGATCAGCGAGGAGTAGGAGGGTTGCGATGGGTGAGACACCTGCACAGAATGTTGGAGGGGGACAGGTGACCGAGACTGAAGGCATTGGAGTGGTGATCAGGAAGGACCTCAAGCCAGGCGGTGGTGACGATGGTGGTGGTGATTAGGATGGAGACGAAGTGTGGTCCTCAAAGGTATCGGGTGTCGACTCCGCAACTGCAGGGTCAATGGGAATGGTGGAACCCGTGGAGAGAGGTGGTGGCATCAACGGAATTGACACCAATGGCCTCCTGACCTTGGTTCTGCGTGTGTGTTCATGTGAGCATATGTGAGCGTGCGCACGTGCCAGAAAGCACGTAAAGCCGCCGCCACAGACGCATTCGCACAAACAGAGGTTGGTCAACAGAGTTATTATAGGATTATGAAAAGACTTCACGTACACGCACGCACGCTACGTTGCAGCGTTACGCGCAATTACCCCACGCCAGACGACACGTGTTGTTAACGAGCACCTATCAAGGACAACACGCACGCACGAGAGGGCGGCTTGTGTTGCTTTCCCAGTGCTGGTGTAGGACAACAGCAGCAGGTGCTCGTTTAAGGTTGAGTCGAAGTAGGGGATCTATGGTAGGATGAGATCTAATACGAGCCAGCTGGGTCGGGTTCGCAGTGCGCTAACCACTTCACCACCGTTCCCCACAAATGAAAAGACCAAGATACCCCGTATGGCCTTACATACTGTCCGGGAAAACTGTTGTTTGCGAGCACTTATCAAGGCCGATAAGTATTTATGTTTAATTATTTGAAAGCACTTTGGGTGGCATATTTGTGGCAGAAAGGTGCCATGTGTTCACCAAAAATGAGTTCACTTGACTTCTTGGTGGTGTGGCTAGCATCCCAAAACGATGGTATGTATAAACCCGACTAAATACCCATCCAAGGCTGAGTTGAACGAGGGGAGGCCCAAGAATTGCCCTGACACTTCAAGTGCCGTGGCTGGGAATCGAACCCAGATGGCTGAGTCAAATCAGACGAAGTCACATTTGTACTTTTTCTACTGTTATTATTGAGACCCAGGAACGTGAAAGGGCCGAGCTGGTGCCGTCTTTGCTGCACGTGCTGGACATGCACCTGACCTCGCAATGTCACGAGGTCGTGGTAACGATGCGCATAGACTCGTCGATTCTTAACCTCACCACGCAGGTCTCGGAACAGGCTTCGGGAGGAGAGTCGATGTTTTTCTAGATTTGTCCACGTGGTGGCTTAGTAATGCGTGGCCAAGGGGGTTGTCTCAGCCAATCGTCCGTCGCTGCGTGGAGAGTAGAATTAGTACAGTAGCACTTTGTATGGGGAGTCAATAGCGGTTATCCTATAGGACAGACTCGCCCCCGCAAAAGGAAGGTGGAATTTCCACCATTGGCTCAGGGCTGTAAACAGGCACATAAGCACCATCGCCTCAAATCTAATTTGACCCCGGGAGTAATCTTGACATTTACTAACTTTCATTGGGCAACGTGACCCCTGCAACCACTAGAGGCCACTACACTCACTGTTACACATTGTATAAAGGGTGACTTCTAACAAACCTGCACCTAACAAACCATGTTAATGCGTTTACACATTTTAAAAGAGGGATCGTGCGCGCGTTAACCGTATATCATCTCTGTGCTATATTTGGCCAGGCTAAACAAAGTCGGTTACCATATTCTCCGGATTGCAAGACGCTCCGGAAAGTAAGACGCCCTCCGAACGCGTTCACGGTGTTAATAAAAAGCTAACTAAATGCGGTCTCGTACACAGATAAAATAAAGGAACGCACACACCATCTCGTATTACGAGACGCACCCCCCTTAGATTTGCTTTAAAATAAAGGGGGAAGTGGGAGTAAGGGGGGGGGGGGCAGTGCGTCTTGTAATCCTGGGAATACGGTAACCCTGTCACTCGCGATGATGGAGACGATCCCCTACAAGGCGTGTTCGTTTTGAGAGAGACACGCCGACTGCTTTCTCTCTGGAAAAGGGAGATAATGCGTTTGGAACCGATAATCGCACGCAGTCGTGAACACGATGGGCGTTACTACCTCGCGTGCGCGTGTCAATTCACTGCTGGATGATGATGGTGGCCCTCCATCCTCCCCACGCCTTTGTCGGTCATCGGAGTTGTTTGACCGTACTTCACCACTCTGGCCAGCGCGTGAAGGGAATCGTCGAATGCGTGGCGGGGCGTGATGTAAAGTCACCTGGCAGGCTTCGGAGAGGGAGGTGCGTTGTGAATTTCGGACAAGTGCGGCATTCAGTCCTTACCCAGGGGGTGGGGGTGGAACGTTGGAGCCAGCGTTGGTCCAGCGGTTTGAACCGCACGCTAACGTTGGCGTGTTCACCTGGCTAGGCTGGACATGACGGCACCATACTAGCCCCCGGGGTTACACTCACCACAGTACACACGCACACGTGCTTTGCGTGCGCTTCGTGTGCGCAAGCGAAGAGACAACCACGATCGTCCTAAACAGATCTCACTGGGGGCAAGTGCTGTGAGCGAGCAACCTATGAAGGCCGCCACCCAATCACGTGGGTGGCCAACACCACGCCCGGCCGCCTTTGTCTCCCTCGTAGCGATGTTTACACATCGCACAGGGTCGACTCAGCCTTATTTGAGGCTGAGTCGACCTAGGGGAGGAGGCCCAGGACCGGTTCAGATAATCGTCACCGGTGTTGGCCGTGAACGGGAATCGAACTGAGGACGGCGGGATTCGTAGTGCAGCGCGCTCACCGATAAACTACCGCTCCCTACACACACACAGTGACACACACAGTGACACACGTACATACACAGTCACACAGACACACACACAGTGACACACACACACAGTGACACACACAGTGACACACAAAAAGACAAAGATCCCCCGTATAGCCTGAACAGACTGTAGGGGCAAGTGCTGTTAGCGAGCACCTATGAAGGCCGGAACGGTACACGAGGGGGTGGGTGGCCAGCACCACGCCCGACCGCCTTTGTCTCCCTAGTGGCGATGTTTACACACCGCACCAGGTACTCATTTAAGGCTGAGTCGACCTAGGGGAGGCCCAGGACCGGTTCAGATAATCGTCACTGGTGTTAGCCGTGAGCGGGAATCGAACCCGGGTCGCCAGGTTCATAGCGCAGCGCGCTAACCGCTACACTACCGCTCCCCAGTGACACACACACAGTGACACACGTACATACACAGTCACACAGACACACACACAGTGACACACACACACAGTGACACACACAGTGACACACACACAGTGACACACGTACATACACAGTCACACAGACACACACACAGTGACACACACACACAGTGACACACACAGTGACACACACACAGTGACACACACACACACAGTGACACTCACACAGTGACACTCACACAGTGACACACACACACAGTGGCACACACAGTGACACACACACAGTGACACACACATACACAGTGACACACACACAGTGACACACACACAGTGACACACACATACACAGTCACACAGACACAGATACACACACACAGTGACACACGTACATACACAGTCACACAGTGACACACACACACAGTGACACACGTACATACACAGTCACACAGTGAGACACACACACAGTGACACACAAACAGTGACACACACGCATACAGTCACACAAACACACATACAGTGACACACGTACATACACAGTCACACAGATACACACACACAGTGACACACGTACATACACAGTCACACAGATACACACACACCGTGACACACGTACATACACAGTTACACAGATACACACACAGTGACACACGTACATATACAGTCACACAGACACACACACAGTGACACACGTACATACACAGTCACACAGACACACACACAATGACACACACGCATACATTAAAACAGTGACACGTAAATATAGTGACATACACAGCCACACAAACGCGCAGTGACATTGACACAAACCACACCAGAGAGAGACACACACACGCACAGTGACACGTAATTATATATAATCACACACACACACAAATGCGCAGTGACACAACCACACCAAAGAGACGCACACACAAACGCACAGTGAACGTGCATACACACACGTGCATATACACACACGTGCATACACACACACATACACACACACATACACACACATACACACAAATGCGCAGTGACACAACCACACCAAAGAGACGCGCACACACGAACGCACAGTGACACGTGCACACACACGTGCATATACCCACACACGGACCCACGCCACGCAAATTGCCCTTCAATCTCAAACCTATCTGCCCCCCCCTTCTACCCCCCGTACGTGTTACATAATAAAACAATAAATACCCCCCCTCCCCTCCTCCTCTCCTCCTCCAAATCAATCCCCGACCCCGATCGGCAGGTTACCGTGCGCGGACTGCGCGTCGGCGTGAGCGCATGGAAGCGCTTCTCCGCATCCCTCCACGCCGGCTCCACTTCCTCGGGGCCTCCGTTCCTAGCACCCCCTTCATCTCTGCCGCCGCCGCTGCTGCTGCTGATGATGCCGCTGCTGCTGATGATGCTGCTGCTGATGATGCCGGTGGTCGGCCCCGGATCTCCGCCTCCTCGTCCCTTGCTCATGATGATCACACGGCCACGGTCATGGGCGTCTTTGCAGCAGATGAATAAATGTTGTTGTGGTTGTGGGCGATTCGCCGCCACCCGCCTCTCCCTCCCTCCCTCCCACCTTCCTCACCCAACCCCTTCTCCTGCTGCTGCTGCTACTGCTGCTACTGCTGCTCCTCTGTCTCGGAAGGGCGATGGAGGTCGACACTGGGATGGAATTGAGAGTGGTGGGGGGAGGGGGATCAGAGAGCCGGGAGCCCGGGCGAGGCAGGTGCCGGCTCGGTTGGGATGTGACGGGGATGGATGTGCAGGGGGTGGGTGGGAGGGTGGGTGGTGCGCTCTCGTGTCCGGTCGTACCCCGCAAGCCGCTCCCTCACTCGCGTCCTCACTCACCAGCTCACCTCATCACTTCATGACCCAGCCACTCACTCGCCCACCCACCCATCTCCACCAAAGAAATCATTGCTTGACCCACACAGTCACGCTAAGTCACTCACCGAGTCAACCCGATCGCTCACTCACCGACTCACACTCACCGGTTTACTCATTCATTCACTCACTCACCCACTCATTCACTTACTCACCCACTCATTCACTTACTCACCCACTCATTCACTCACCCACTCATTTACTTACCCACTCATTCACTCACCCACTCATTCACACATCCACTCATTCACACACCCACTAATTCACAAACCCACTAATTCACTTACTCACCCACTCATTCACTCACCCACTCATTTACTTACTCACCCACTCATTCACTCACCCACTCATTCACTTACTCACCCACTCATTCACTCACTCACCCACTCATTCACTCACTCACTCACCCACTCATTCACTCACTAATTCACTTACTCACCCACTCACTCACTCACCCACTCATTTACTTACTCACCCACTCATTCACTCACCCACTCATTCACACATCCACTCATTCACACACCCACTAATTCACAAACCCACTAATTCACTTACTCACCCACTCATTAACTCACCCACTCATGTACTTACCCACTCATTCACTCACCCACTCATTCACACATCCACTCATTCACACACCCACTAATTCACAAACCCACTAATTCACTTACTCACCCACTCATTCACTCACCCACTCATTTACTTACTCACCCACTCATTCACTCACCCACTCATTCACACACCCACTCATTCACACACCCACTCATTCACTTACTCACCCACTCATTCACTCACTCACCTACTCATTCACTTACTCACCCACTCATTCACTCACTCACCCACTCATTCACTCATTCACTCACTCACCCACTCATTCACTTGCTCACCCACTCGGTCACTCACTCACCCACTCATTCACTCATTCACTCACTCACTCACTCACCCACTCATTCACTCACTCACCCACTCATTCACTTACTCACCCACTCATTCACTCACCCACTATGCTAGCTTATGGCAGTATGTTCAGGAGCTGAATGGCAATGTCGAGGCCTGCTCAGCCAAGATATTTGCTTGAGGAGAGAGTTCGTGTAGTTTTGCTGTTCCTCCGTTGAAGGAGGCTAAATTGGTTTACGATGTGGGTCCATAGTTTGGGTTACATGGCCACAAATCGCTCGATTGTGCCTCGTGTTTTTCAATTTCTACTCTTGAAAGTGATGTGCACAGCGACCTGTTGGTGTTCTTAAGCGGTTGATGGTTCCACCGGTGCCTTCGAGGAGGAGGAGGAATGTCTGTCACCCACTTCCCTTACTATAAGTCACCCAACTCGCTGACCCACCCATCCACCCAATCGCCCACCTCTAACTCGGCCGTGGTGAGGGGGCCATGTGGTGAGTGGCGTGGTGAGTGACTTTACAGCCCTCATTGGGGGGTACGGCGAGTGGACACTCACACACTGTTAATTATGTCAACGCGCCGTCTGTGGATGCATTGTTTACATAACATAGTCGACACACACGCGGCGCTTGGGAGTGTGATGTGGCCAACACCACGCCCGGTCGCCTTTGTATCCCCAGTGACAGTAAACTTAATTTTTATTTAAAGCTTTCGTGACTGCAGGGATTCATCTTCTTGGTTCTTTCGGTACAGTCACGTATTCCCTTCTACGTGACTTTACCGAAAGAACCAAGAAGAGTAAACCTAATGTTTAATACAATCATTTCCAGTCCTCTCCCAACCACCAAACTTTGCAACTTCCCGCCCCCCCCCCCTCTTGCAAACAGACAGGAGGAGGAGATAATTTGTTTCCGGATTTCAGCTCCGGGCAGCTCCAGATATGATTGAGCCAAGCCCATTTCTTCAGCTATTATTTGCCACAGATGTTAGATGTGGCCGGGAAGGCCACGGGGGAGCTTAAAAAAATACTCAATGACAAATGAAGCCCCGTAAACATTATACACATGCACTGTATGCCCACGTACACACCACAAGACAAATATCCTTAACAGACTGTAGGGGCAAGTGCTGTTAGCGAGCACCTATGAAGACCGGAACGGTACACGAGGGGGTGGATGGCCAGCACCACGCCTGACCGCCTTTGTCTCCCCAGTGGCGATGTTTACACACCGCACCAGGTACTCATTTGAGGCTGAGTCGACCTAGGGGAGGCCCATGACCGGTTCAGATAATTGTCAGCGGTGTTGGCCGTGAGCGGGAATTGAACCTGGGTCGCCTGGTTCATAGCGCAGCGCGCTAACCGCTGCGCCACCGCTCCCCACGTGGACACATACGCACCCACGATGCCAGCTGCCTGAAAGTTACACGTGTCACAATTCTTATGAACGGATTCATTAAAACATCCATGCTGTACGTGTGTGCAGACCCGTTAATGATTGCTCACAAGCACTGAAAATTAGGGGGCCTATGCATATAGCCATATAACTCGTATTCTGGTTTATGGTTATACCATACAGTGCCTCGATATGCGTCCAGGTACAAAGGTCATGCAAGAGTTACTTGTACTCTCTCAGAGAGAGAGAGAGAAACACTCAAAAGTGATTGTAACTTACGCACGTGTTCAAGCATTGCCCTGCTCCACGTACGCATGTCGCGTTGGTCGGTGTTCCAACGCCTCTGCGCTTCCAACATAGACACAGTTCTGCTCAGTGGCGTGGCTTATCGAGTGTGCAGGCGGTGCAACTGCGCCGTGGCCAATTGTCCGGGCTACCCTTTTCTACTGCTACCTACCCAGTCGCAGTTTACACACTTGACTCCAGTGTCAGCAGGCTGTCAGATCAAGTCTCATCTCCGTGAAAGTTTTTTTTTAAAGCTGGAGTTTCGGTAACTTTTAATGTAACTTATTGCACCATGGAGCGTGTCACCAACCACTGACTCTGCTGAAATATGCACTCATATCTGTCGCAGTGGTGGTAGTGATTGGAGCAGAGGCTGTGGCGGTAGTCAAAGCCGGAGCTGGATATTTGGGTGCCCGGGCCACGCTGCCAACCGAGCACACCCCGCGCCTGCTACGGCAAGTTCAAGTTTATTTAATTTAACCAAGAAATAATAAGTATGACGTGTTTGTGCAGGAAAGTATACACTGAGTCCAAGGAGGGTCCTGCATCGGTTTTTTGTTTTGTTTAAGATGTTTTCAGCCAATTTATGAGGTTGTTTATACAAGTGGGAGGAAGCCGGAGTACACGGAACAGAGCACACACGTGCAAAGGGGGCAACACTCGAACCCACGTAGAGATGGAAACAAATGGAGATTATCTTCTTGGTTCTTTCGGTAAAGTCACGTAGAAGGAAAATAATAAAATAATAAAAATAAAACATACTAAAATAATTCTCACGATGTTTCGGCCACAACGCAAGCAGCCGTCCTCAGGTGAAAACAGGTCAAGAGGATATGCAAATTATTTTGTCAAGGCGCTCTTCCCCCTCCAACTCGGCTTAAATATACGCTGCCAAGCCTGGTGGTGTTCATTCAGACGCTGTCTTTCCGACAGACCTGTTCTTCACCTGAGGACGGCTGCTTGCGATGTGGCCGAAACGTCGTGAGAATTATTTTATTATGTTTTATTTTTATTATTTTATTATTTCCCTTCTACGTGACTTTACCGAAAGAACCAAGAAGATGAATCCCTGCAGTCACGAAAGCTTTAAATCGAAATTTAAATGGAGATTAGTCAACTTTCTGTACTGCCTTCTGGCAAACGAGGGGTACGGCACCTCGACGCCCACGGGGAAGAAGGGAGGTGGCGGTGATGTTGGGAGAGGGGAAAAGGCTGCCTTTGAGAATGACGCTGGCGTTGAACACTCACCCACCCGAAATCCATCTCGGCGTGATCTCAGAAAGTGGTGGTGGGCACTTCGCAACGCCGCACCGCTCTCTCGGCCCGACCTTTGGGCGTGCATGACACACGACCCACCTCGCACACTCTTTATACTTGACCACCCAGACCCGCACCATCAACCCATTACCATCATCACAGCGCATCATCACGGCGGCGAACACAGGACTCGTGCACACTTCCTGTGCCCAGCCCCGCCTGGCCTTCAGAATTCCCTCTGGCTCCCTCCTCCTCCTCCCTGCTCTTTATCTCAGAGGCGTCAGTCCGTGTGAAGGATTGCCCAATTATCGTACAGTGGTTTTACCGTATTCCATGTTCTGTATTATACACATCACCCACACGCCGTGAATGTGACACATCTAAGGGCAATTAACCACGGATTCAACAACGAATTACATAGTATTATTATCATACAAATTGTACAATAGCAGATTAAGTAAAACACGTAGAAATAGAATATCGATGTTTTGATGACTGATCTATGGGATATTTCATATGGCTTATGTTTGATTTACAAGTAGATAATGTACAACATAGTTTGGTAGATTGGCCTATTGGCCTTTAAGGCCAATGTTTTCCAGCAGCATTTGTTTAAGCATGTACACTCTGGACAACGTTCAAGCTTTATAAGACTCATCAGCAGTATCATCCTTGTTTAGCAACTGCTGCTGAGCTACCATTTAATACATGTATATGCAACAGCCATCCACCTTCACGGTGGAGCATTTTAAGTGCAGCAAACTATTACATTTGCTGAGTCTAATCGACTGTACTGTCTCGATGCTACCATCTTAGTGAGCAAACCCATAAATAGATGTGTTTAACGTAATCTATTTTTCATCATGTGGGGTCACTGACACAGCAACACACGTATCCATTACTTGCAGAGGCCGACCGAAACTGAATTTCTGGTTTCGGCCAAAACCGAAACCAAACCGAAAGTTAAAAATTGACTTTAGGCCGAAACCGAAGCCGAAATTGATAGTTTAACTACACTTTCGACCGGGACCGAAACAGAAAGGTATATAACC